TCAGATCGATGCTCGGAGGCTTATAGACACCCTCCCCCACCTTGGTCTTTTAATAGCCTTTTCCATATTTATTGCTATCTAACCAGATACTTCAAACATATCCTACACTCGGTATAACCTGATATCTGCCCAGTCCCCGAAGTGCCCTCTTGACAAATGCTTGCCTGGTGTTACAGTATATTCCCTTTTGCTAAATGGAGTCCTTGGGAGAGGTAGACCCTGGCTTTCCAAGCAGAGGACCCGGCACTCGCTGACAGGGTGGCCTCCAGCAGGAATGTTTTAATACATCACTTATTAAAATGGCCCTGGGGCCCTGGCTGAGGGCTCTGGCACTCCCCCTTCCCAGCAGAGGGCAGCTCGGGGCTTAAGCTGACCGCATCCAAGCCCTGCCCCCCTCTGACCCCGCACACAGTGAATAGCCAGAGAGGGACAGAGCCTCAAAACAACAAACCAACAAAGGACATTTGAGGCTGAAGGACAATGGCTGCAGCTGGGACTGAGCCTTGGGTGTGGGGTCAGGTGATTCCGCACACCCCTCATGGAGCAGGGAGGGGCTCTGGTTCAAGTCCTGCCTCGGCGCCTTACTGAGTCCCCCTGTACAAGTTTCTTAACCTTTCTGAGCCCTGGTTTCTCTGTGCAACAAGGGTAATAATCGTGCCTATTTCACAGGGCTGTTGTGAGCCTGGCACAGTAAGAGCTCCATTAATGTGGGTGCTGCGTGATCCTTCTAGACCCTCTGGGGCCTCAATTTCCTCAGCTACCGAGGAGAATGACTGCCTGTGGGTTTGCAGGGTGGCTGGGAGGATTGCACGAGAGAATGGGAGGGAAAGCACTTTGTAATTGCACAGCGCTTTGATCAGGTAAGTGGCAATTACTCCTGGGCGCAGACAGAAACCATGCCTGCTGGAAGAGTCTTTTCATGAGGCTCCTGTTCCTCTTGGCAGATTGATGTCTGAGCAAAAGGTGGGCCCTGCCCCTGACTCCCTGGGCGGCACCCCCTAGGCCTACTCAGAGGGAAAGCACAGGGATTGGCGAGCTCCACGGTACCCATCAGTGGGGCCCATCAGCTGCAAGCACTGGGTCCCCAGGTCAGCAGGGAGGAAGGCCACGTTCTGGAAAAGGATCACGCACCTGGGAAAATCAAGCTGGCATTCCCAGCCATTCTGCAGCCCCGACAGCTCCAGCCTGCCCGCCACCTCCGCCATAATGACTGCTCCAGAGAGGAGCTTTATGCTGGGACCCCCTGAGGCCTTGAGGCCTCCACTGCCAGGGAAGGAGGATGAGACATCATCCCCCCTAACCCTACCCCGTGGGCCCTCTGGAGCCCCTCTTCCTCTTCCCTCCTGAGCCCTCTTACCTGATGTCTGAGTCACACTCAGGCTCCTGTCACTGTGAGCTGTGTTGTGACTCCCCGGCTGACAGTTTTACAACAAACACATTAAAAGCTCCGGCACTGGGGCTTCTGGATGCGTAACAGCCCCAGAGAAAAACCTCTCCCAGCCTTTGTTCAGTCACAATCCTCCCAAACCCTCTCCCCTAGGGACCCGTTCCACCACCAGTAACTGCCCCAAGCCTAACAAGGGGCTGAGATTTTTTCTCATAACAAGCCTTTAGCCAGTGAGTGGGAACGACCACAGCCTCCAGCTGTGGGCCCCAGAAGGGGCTGCTCCCTCCAGCAGTGACCTGTGGGCTCCAGAAGGTGAAGGGTCTGGAAAAGAGAATAGCTCATCTTCAGCCCTGCCTTTGAGGACAGGTGGCCCTTGGTGAAGGATTAAATGGGCATACAGTGGCCTGGTACTGAGTATCCCTGTGTGCTGGGTGTTGTGTTAATCCTCCCAATAACCCTATGATGCACGGGCTGAGTTGTCCCCACTTTACAGATTAGGAAACTGAGGCTTAAAGAAGTTCAGAGACTTGCTCAAGTCCACAGAGCCAGGAAGTCAAGGGGCTGGGATTTGAATCCAAATCTGCCAGCCTTCAAACGTTGCTCTTCCCAAGATGGACCACTTCTCAGCACATCATCCCCCTTTCTCCTCACCCCACCAAGGGTGGCAGAAACCTCAGGGAAGCCAGGAGAACCCAACCTGCAAATCCAAAATTGAATAAACTTGCCCTTCAGGATGGCCTTGCCAGTCCAGCCTGTCCACAGTGCACCCCACATTGCCTTTTTGCCTTACAGACCAATGCCACCATCCCCTCCTTCCTGTCTGCAACCAGCAAACAGCAAATGTCCCCACCACCGCACTCCCACCCCCAACCAAAGCAGAGAAAAGAGAGGGTGTCACAGGAACAGTTCTTTTATTGTACATTGGAGAAATAGCCCTGTGTGCTGGTTCAAGGTGCAACATACAGAATATCGAATTAAGAAAAGAGGGAACAGAGAAGGGAAGGGAAACCTCTTGAGGTCCAAAGTTGCAAACAAAAAATGGTAAAAGATTTCCTCACGCAAGAGGCATTTTTGCAAATACCATGCAAAACAGGCAGCTGGTGTGCCTTAAGAGAATCCCTATAAATAACAGAAACACTCCAAGCATTCCTGTACGTGGACTCAGAGCACAGGGAAAAGAAAAGAAACCAAAATGCCTTTTGGCATTTCAAGATATTTGGCACTCTTGTGATTACATTTTTTTTACAGTCCATTAAAGAGAATAAACTGACATAATATTAATTATGAGAAAAAAAAACAGGCTGCTCACACAACAGACTGCTGGGGAAGGTTAGAAAAAGCTCAAGCATTTTTTTCTTTGTTTTTCGTGTGTTTTTTTTTTCTGACATATAAAATGTGTCCATTTGCATTAACTTGGGCAAATAGCTTGCAGCAACAAAGAAATACAAGCTTCACAATTCATTTCAAACTAAAACAAGGATCCTTTCTAGGTATCATTACTTAGAAAAGTTCTCTTCTTGTTTTAAACACATTCCTGATAACTTCAAAAGATGACCAAAATAAAACAGAATTATCTTACAGAGATCATTTTCCGAATTTTTGTACATCCAAGGATAACAACATAAAAAAAAAAAAACTGGACGGCATTTCACATCCAAGTGCACAAAATCATTTTTGCAAGATTAAATAATGTAAACATTGGAAACAGCCAAATCAGCGAAGAATGCCAACACCTCAAAACACCGGGTGTTGCCGCTTCATTAAGTGGTTCAAAATCCAGATCTATAATTGCGCAATATTCACCGTATATAAAAGGAAATGGATATTAATTTTGACAAATAGCTGCAACTGAGACTTCTTTTTTTATTTCTTTATATTGGACAGGCCACGGAAGCAGAATCCAGGGAGATGCATGCTTATCACAAGCATTCAATTAGTTAAGTTTGAATAATGCAGGCCTGGCACGCTCAGA